AGCACTGCCCCATGGCCTGTACCATTGAGGAGAGATCTCCTCTCTCAGGCGGAGGGCTCGATTTGGCACCCTCGCCCGGAGTTGTGGTCCCTGCACGCATGGGCTATCAACGGGTACCCGCTAGCCTCCCGGAGGGAGTGTTAAACACGATCGCGCAGGCTAGAGCTCCGTCTACCAGGCGGCTCTACTCCTCGAAAGGGTCTGTTTTCTCTGCATGGTGTCAAGCCCGGAGCTTTTCACCTGTGGAATGCGGGGTTTCGGAAGTGCTTTCCTTCCTTCAAGAGCTACTGGATAAGGGCAGGACCCCATCCACGCTCAAAGTATATGTGGCGGCCATAGCAACGTTTGCAAAACCGGTGTCTGGCCAGCCGCTGGGGAAAAACGACTTAGTCGTGCGTTTCCTTAGGGGAGCTCGGAGGCTGAACCCTCCCAGGCCCCCTTCAGTCCCGACGTGGGACCTTTCCACGGTCCTGGAGGCCATGAAAGGCGCCCCGTTTAGGCCAATCCAGCTGGTGGACATGAAACACCTGTCGTTCAAAACAGTGTTTCTCATGGCTCTCGCTTCAGTGAAGCGCATAGGGGACTTGCAGGCGCTTTCAGTAAGCGCGTCGTGTATGGAGTTTGGGCCTAATGACTCGAAGGTCATTCTCAAACCTAAGCACGGGTATGTCCCGAAATCCCTCAATACACCGTTCAGGGCCCAGGTAATTTCCCTGTCCGCCCTTCCGGTTCTCAGTGAGGAGGAGGATGCGAGTCTCCTTTGCCCCGTCAGGGCATTGAGAGCTTATGTGTCACGCTCGTCTGTTTTCAGACAGACGGAGCAGCTTTTTGTTTTGTTTGGCGGGCGTTCCACGGGACTCGCCGCCTCAAAACAGAGCCTATCCAGATGGATAGTGGATGCCATTGCGCTCGCTTACTCTGCAAAGGGCCTACAGTGCCCCTTGGGTGTCAGAGCGCACTCCACGAGAGGCGTGGCCTCTTCGTGGGCTTGGTCGAGCGGGGTTTCCCTGCAAGATATCTGTACGGCAGCGGGCTGGGCCTCGCCGTCTACATTTATAAAATACTATAACCTGGAGGTACCCGCCTTACAAGCTAAGCTTTTGGCGGTCTAAAATTCAGTGCTATCTGCCCCGCTGTGCGGCCCAGATGCTGAGTTTACTGCAGCCCCATGAGTGTTGACACACGTATGGCCACCCAGATCAGGCTGAAAGCTTTCACCCTGGCTGCGCGTTTTATTGTCATTTGATAGCCCCGCTGGGTGCTTTTTTATAGGGAATGACGCTTCCAGCCTCTCTTCCTCCACTCTATGTGAGTTTATGGTGATTATGCACTACATGAGCCCTGGGCTTCGGCCCTCGGGACTTTGGTGTTGGATCCCTGTACGCACGGCGTGTTGCATTGTGTTCCCCTAGCGTAAAGCTATTACGCAGTACGAGAGATACTCTCGTAAGAGAACGTACTCGGTTCTCTCTAGAGAGGGAACGAGTACTGCGTATCTTGCCGTGCTTGGAATACGCTCTGGTTCGCTTCAGCGATAAAAACCAGCTTGTACCAGCCTAACGAGCATATTTATAGGGTGAGACCACGCCCCTTCTGGCGGGACGTGACGATATGGGCGCGAATTGCCCCCATTGGTCATTACGTCACGCAGAGTCTCTCTCGATAGGCTGCTGCATTTGCTGCAGAGCAACCAATAGGCGCGCGAGCTGTTTCGCCAATGTCTGCTTGCTGCTGCAAAGCGTTTTACATTAATAAAAAATTAAGGATAATTTTTGGCTTCAATATCTCGTGGAAAAGAGTTTTTCCCCTAGCGTAAAGCTATTACGCAGTACTCGTTCCCTCTCTAGAGAGAACCGAGGTTACGTTAGTAACCGAGTACGTTTATCCATGATTTCAAACAAGAATCCCCCAATGGCTTTTTAGTGCAAATCATTAGCCAAAATTACATAAAGAAACTACTTGAGCACTAGTTAAAGCCCAAATTACACAAAATAACGAATTGAGTTTAAATTATTTGCTGACAGCTTGGTCCCCCCCAGTTAAAAAATCCTATCTGCACCACTGGGTACGACCGTTTGATTGACGCACTGACTGTCCAATGATTCTAGGTGGTCTTGGAAAGTTTTTCGAGTCCTGCCCGTTCCACAGATGATTAAATTGCTTAATTTTCATTTCAGTGCTTCTAACTCAGTGGCTGCAAGTGGGTTAGGAATAGGATTTCAAGTGATTTAAAAAAAAAATGGTCAAAAAAGAAAATCACACACCACACCCATAAACTGTAAAAAAATATGGACGTAGTGTCCGTGACGTCACCCGTAGGTTTCTAAAGAGCGTTTTTGAAGCCTAAAGTAGGCGGGGCCGGCCGTCGCCATCTTGGCAGCGCGTCACCTCTCGTCACTACTGGATAAAATAAAATGGGCAAAGAGGCGTGACGTGGGTGGAGCTGAGGTGCTACTTTAGCGTTACTTTAGTCGATTAACGTCAGTGCATGCGAGGAAAACAACTGGAAATACAGCGCTGGTTGTTCTCTCCATACTCGACAACGACGGAATCCATCAACGGCGTGGGCGAAGGTATAATGCGTGTATTAAATTGTATGAAATAATCCAGAAAAAAGCACAAACACGGCAGAGATGGCAAGTACAGCAGCTGCTGGAATTAGCTGAGTGACGCTAACAGACAGCAGACAAACGGCCGCAATCCACCTTTCACTCAAGTGGCCACGCCCTTAATTATGCAGGCTTAATATAATTTAAATGGATGAGTTGTAAAAAAATTCACCCCCCTCACAGTTGTCATGAAGGGCAAAATAAGCTATAAAGACCAAAACCACTTTTTGCTCCAGGCTGTAAACATGTTTTTTTTCTGCTGTAAAGTTGGGCATTTTAACATGGGGGAGATGCAGATTTGACTCACTTCTGCCTCCAGCCTCAAGCGGTCAGTAGATGAATTGCAGTTTAATTCACTTCCGTGTTGGTTTCAAGAGAGAGACAGGAGGCATTTCTCAATGTCAAGGAAGGATCCTCGGAAGCCAGAATTTCGAGGATGCTACCTCATCGACATCCGTAGAAGGACTGTTCCAATGTCGAGAATCCTCAGAATTTCAACCAAGGCCGGAGTCCTTCGTTTGGAAAATATCCCATACACAGGAAAGGATGCATATGTATAGACTTTGCGCTAGACGTTAGCGGAGTCGGAGCAATAACGGGGCAATATGCTTTTAAATGTAAGTATATTTACGCTACCATACATTTGTTATAACCGTCATATAAGTAAAGTTTAACGTTTAAATGCCAGTACAAATTACTACCGTATTGATATTACAAATTATACAAATTACGTTATTGATGGCTAACCTGTCATTTTAACAATTGTTAGCTTGTTTGCCGTCACCGGCAATTCTTTTAAAAATAACGACTTAAGTTGTACACAGTAATGTAACGTTAATATTATAGGCCTGCCGCCTACCATTCACTCCCCCCACCCCCCCAGAAGATGAGGCTGGAAGGGAGGGTTTCCAACGCCCAGGCAAAAAAAAAGTGGGACAATTTAAAAACCAACCCTGTGTGCGGGGGAAGTGAACAAATTGGGGGAGCACAGCCACCATCTCATCCACCATCCTGTGGAAAACTCTGTGCGCCGTGGGAAGAGGAATGCTGAAGACCCTGGAGACAACTCTGTAGGCTGAACCGGTTGCCAGCCAGAACAGGAAGACGAGTGTCTCCAGGGTCGGGCCCCATCCGTGCTGCCTGTCTGTCTTCAGGGCCACCATCAGCTGCTGCATGGCCTCTCTGCCCAGCCTGATGTCTGGCCGAGTGTCCTCCCCCCCCATAGTACCGCTGCAGTACTGGCACTGTGGCATTGATGGCACAGTAGGGCCGAGCCTGTACAACATGAAGAAGAGAGGAAGGTTTAAGTATAATTTCAGTTTTGCCATTTATTTAATGTTTGTTAAACTATTAAACATATCGGCTCAACTGATTTGCAGGGGGGGGATTTAAAGCTGTTCCCTTTTTACTGGTTATTCACCTTGTAATTTTTACTTCATATAGACTTTTTTTGTTGATCACATATTTTACCATTGCATGTGTTTTAACAGCTAGAATGTTGCTATGGACGCAGTTCTGTTCACTCAGGCAATACAATCATTTTTAAATCAATAAACTCCTTTTTAAATCAATATTTTGTCTCAAATTATTGATTTATTATTATTGATTTATTTTGTTAGGTAGGCAGCCATGGGATAATGTATAGCGAGACGGTTTTTACAGCGAATACAACCCTTTCAGGTTTATTCAAGACCCCTCCGCTTCTCGTTAGAGTTCGCGGGGTTGTATTCGCTATAATTTATTTATAAATTAATCATAAGAGCTACTTACCATCCCACGTCTTTGACGGCAGAGGTGGCGACAAATCAACATTCTCCTCCTGCGATCCTGACGCCGATCCTGCCTCACAATTTCCATCTCCACAAAAAAGCTGTACAACAAACAAGCCAGTAGCATTTCCATTTTTGCAATTTTTTGCCGCGCCGAAACTTACCTTTTCACTGATGGACGCAATGACGTAAACTTGCTAGAATGTTCCATTTACGTGTTCTCTCGAATCCTAAAGAGGATCCTCGCCTAGCCTGAAGGAAATGACTTGGAAAGACGCGTCCTGCCAAGGAAGTATCCTTGACATTGAGAAAAACCTGGGGAGGTTGCCGCTTGACCCCATCTTTAATGCTGCCCTCTACCGGTCACATAAAGTTTCACACGTTTCCTTTTGGCTGCTCACTGCAGAGCCAATGAGTGGAGCTTGAAGTTCAGCTCCCCCTCGATTGACGCATTGACCACCACTTGGAGGAACTTGGAGAAAAGCTTAGATTTTTTTTTTTTTTTGCTAAAATATAAAGAGACAGCGTCCATACAATACACGTAGTACATTAAATTGCACGGTCTTATACAAAATGTGTCAGTTCCTCCATCAGTGTCTTCAGGAGAGTTCCCCTCAGATTTCATTTCACACACTGACGCTGGTGGGAGGATTCAACAAAAACTGGGGACTCAACGCGACTCTACAAGCGCACTTTACACCGCACAAAGCCGGGACACTGTTGTGTTGTCTTTACGATGATTTTAGTTAAATTCGTGTGCGCGATCATAACCAGGTCCTTATTCATTCTGGTCTCTCTCATCGGCGTCTGGAGAGTGAAAACGGTGAAAAATGACAACATGTACTGGTTACTGACTGTACTTTACCTTCCTCTGGTCGTGGAGATGTTCGTCACTTTAAAACGAAGGAAAGGGAAAGACTACAAATGGTGAGTGACACAACACATTATTATACACGATTTACAGTGGTGCTGACAGAAGCTGCTTCACGACAGCTGTTGATCATTTTCTGCTGGATGGATTCACACTCTTGGTGCAAATTTCTTCTATTCAATGTATTTAGAGCTGAATATATGTTACATGGCTTTTATTCGACTTCTTTTGTAGACACTTGCTGTTCTCAAGTTTCAGTAGCATTTTAAATTCAATTTTCCTAAAAAGTTATCGACATTCCTCACTGCCTCCCTCCCCCTCACCAACATCCTGCTAGACCTATTGTTACTGCTGACTGAGTAAAGGATGTGTGTGAAAGTCAAGACACTATGGTCTAGTATAATCTGAGTGGTCTCCAGCAATGATCTTAAAGGGTTAGTTCCCACAAAAATAAAAATTATGTCATTACTCACCCGTCCCTCATGTCGTTCCAAACCCATCATTTTAATAAAAATCTGAGTAATTCCTGTTCCTCCGTTGACAGCTAAGCAACTACTACTTTGACGCTTCAAAAAGTTCATAAAGAGTTTGTAAAACTAAACCAAATGAATTGAGTGGTTTACTCAGAATTTTCTGAAGAGACACGATCACTTTATATGATGAACATATTTAATTTAGGCTTTTATTCATATAAAAAAATTGATCAGTGAACATAATTTAGAAGCTCAACCAAACATGCTTGACGCGTAAGATAAAACCCTTTTACTGTCTATGGATAAAACCTCTTGCAGAAGCTCAAACCTGCTGCATAACACAAGAATGAACCTCATTGGTTCTCGCACTTCAAGCGAACAGGTTTTAGCTTCCATTTACCACAACTGATGTATGGGTTGATGAATGTGTATGTTCTGTAAAAATTATGCAACCCGTCTTCTGTCATCTTTCAGGTTTTCTCCAGCCATTCTATTGTTCCTCATCAGCATTATTCCATCCATATGGATTCTAGAGTTACATCATCAGGAAAACAAAGCCAGTGACCCTCAGGTATTATTCTTTATACCCATTCTTTCAGTGGAATTTTGACGCGTTTTCCTCTTAAAGGGACAGTTCACCCAAAAAAATAAATTTCTGTCATTGTTTATTCACTCTCATTTTATCGATCCAAACATATATGACTTTCTTTATGTGCAAATATGTTTTTTTTTTTTTAGTAAACCCTAAACATGTGCAATAACCAAAACACTATTTTATTCACATTCTTATTCTGATTCATTTTTGAGTGAGGACAACAACTTTGTCCCAAAAAGGAAAATTCTGTAATCATTTACTCACCCTCATGTCGTTCCAAACCTGTATGGCTTACTTTCTTCAGCTAAACACAAAAGAAGATATTTTGAAGAATGTTGATAAGTTTCGGTTCCCATTTATTTCCACTTTATTTTTTCGGTCATATTTTGGAAGTCAATGGGAACCAAAAACTGTTTGGTTTTCAGCGTTCTTCAAAATATCTTCTTTTTTTTTCATTTTTAGGTAGACTATCTCTATGCATATGTGAAGTCAGTTTAACCTAATCATGCTCATATATAAGATGATATTCTGTGAGTGTCTTTTTTCCCTCCTTAAACTCTTCTCTGTAATTTTTGTGTCTTGCAGTGTAGGAAACTGGACTCTTGGGAGAATGTCAAGAGCATATTGCCTTCAAATGGCACTAAGGTTAACGAAACACTAAAGGTAATCTTTTATTTTAAGTTTTTAATTGACGGTTTATTGTATTAATGTAAAAAAGTGACTAACACTCTGACTGTAATGTATCTGCTATGTGTATGTATAAATCACACGTGCTTCTAATTTGTGATGTCATTCATTTCCTGTGGCCCAGACACACACAACACAGACAGTTTTCCTTAGAATTGTCTTGCCTTTCACTTCCTCTGTCTTTCTCTAGAATTAAAATATAACGTTACTTCAGATTTAAATAGATAATAAAACATTTAGATTTAAATCTCAACATTCCTATGATGAGATCTAATTATTTTTGGGCCTTATTAGCCACTCTCTTGTCGGTCCAGAGACCAGGAAAACTTGATATTTTCTCTTCTTGGTTTCCTTCTCTTTCACTTGCAAATTTGATCTTGTACAAAATACAAATTATCCATTGTGCTGATGCTTTTATCCAAAGTAACTTGCCTTCTGAATGCAAGTGTAGAAGTGCTGAATCATCTTCTTTATTAATATAATTCATACCCTTGTGAATTTCAATTCATGTGTCTTCTTGGGTATGAAGAGACGATTCCTCTTTATGTTCAGTGGTGTGATGTGTTTAGCAATTTATAAATGTCTGTGTTTGTATTATTGTCAGCAAGGGTTGCAATAAAATGGAAAATAAAGGCAGGATCTATACGCAAGCAGTTTTCTTTAATAAACTCAGCGAATAGATAATAAGATAATTAACATAGCGAATAGAACAGCCACATATAATAGACGAGATCAGATTACTGAAAATGAGGGCTATATTATATAGAAACACTAGGGATGGAATGAGGTAATTAATTAAAAACAGGTGTGACACATGAGGGCAAATCAAAAACCATGGTAACAAATAAACACAGAGAAAAGAAAACTGATCTGGAAACAGTGAAACCCAACTTTAAACAGACCAAACCAGACAATAATATTAATATATGTGTTATGTCTTTCAGCACCTGGAGCGCATGCTCACATCTGTCTGTCCGAATGACTGGATTCTTGGTCTTCATCAAGTTCTGCTTATTCTTCTCATCCTTGGAAAGTGGCTCCTCCCACTAGGGGGCGGAGTAACGCGTGACGAGCTGTCTCAGCTTTTGCTCATCTTCGTTGGCACGGCGGCAGACATTCTGGAATTCACTAGTGAAACACTCTCTGATGTCAAGTGGGTACCTCCTGTTCTTAGTCAATAGTCAAAAGGTTGACTGAATACCAGTTCACATACTATTTTTGATGTGCACTACCATTCAAATGATATCAAACCATTCAAAAAATATTTATTTTTTAAAAGAAATGAATCCTTTCGTTTATGCATTGAATCGATCAAAAATGACAGTAAAGACATTTATAATGTTACAAATATTTCTATTTCAAACAAGAATCCTGAAAACAAGAATCCTATTCATCAAAGAATCCTGAAAAAAAAATTTGATCACTGTTTCCACAAGAATATTACACACTTTTTTCAACTGTGATAATAAAAAATATATTTTTTAGCATATTAGAAGGATTTCTTAAGGATCATGTGACGCAGAATATTGGAGTAATGATGCTGAAAATTCAGCTTTGCCATAACAAGAATACATTACATTTTAAAGTATATTAAAAAGTTATTAAAATTGATGTTGGGTTCCTTGATGGTGGAATGACCTGCCATTACCTAACTCAACCCGAGCTGCTGAGTCTTTAGCCGTTTTCAAGATGCATCTTTTTCATTAACACTTGACTAATTAATTCGAACCTTTTCTATTCTATTCTAAAGAGAGAATAAACCTTGCTACATGCAATGTGCTAGACTAACTAGGACTTGTTACATCACTTACATATTGTTGCCTCTATTGTTATCCTCAATTGTAAGCCGCTTTGGACAAAACATCTGCTAAATGATTCAATGCAAATGCAGTCAGCCCTGTTAAGTTCAAAATGAAGGTTAATGCAACTGGCATTTACTAGCAAATATTACATTACACCACATTATTCAATATTTTTGTACCGTATATTTATGAGAGACAAAGAAAAATGTGGCATTTTTCTCAGAAAACCCCTAAAGCAGTTTAGGAAAAAACAGACAAAGTGTTACATGTTATATTTAAAAAGGCTTTATTTTATTTGTATGTATTTATATTTAATCCACAAACTCTACTTTTTAAATTTTTCTTTACATTCTCTGCTGCAAAAAACGCTGACAAATATAATGTGACTACGTTTCTGATCTTTGGTTTTTCTTGTCAGTGATATCAGTAGTCATGTGAACACAAATGACCCGTTTCCTGAGAATAGGTCGAGTTAATTGTTTGGTAGAAAACAGAGAAGTATTGGCATCTGAGAATCTGCTCTCTGTTATGCCAGTCATAATTTCCTACTGATATTTATGATAAGAGAAAGACTCACATATAAACGCTAGTACATTATTTTGTGCAAATCTGCATAACACATTCTTCTTCACTTTGTGTTATAGGGAGAACAACCATCAGCTGGTGTATATAATCTTGGCAGTGTGGACGTGGAGTATGTTGCAGTTTCCTTTGCACCTGGCAGGTTTGTGATAACGTGTTTAACTGTGTTAACATGTGCTTCTTTAACACCCCACCATCAAACGTCACAGATACTGCTTTGAAAAACAGAAAATGACCTACAAAATGGTTCAGGATCCCTCAAATGACTGGAGGAGAACCCTGCTGTCCTGTGGAATCCTTCATCTTGCTCCATCAAAAGTATTTTTCTTACCCCTGGATCTCACACAAACTAGAGGTTTGGGATGTAACTCAAAGTAGCGCTTCAGTCATTTGCAGATCAACAGCATGTGTTTTTGTTTAGTTATGCTTCATGCCTGTTTCCCTTTGAGGAATGAGAGTTTTGGCAGCCACAGTACATGTATCTATTACCAAACCCCATAGAAAGAAGAAAGGGGCGAATTTTCTTGGATCTTTTGAGATGTTTTCCATAAGTGCAACAGACTTTTCACTTCTGCAAACTTGCATTGCTCAATGCTCTGTAAAAATTTCATTTAAATCAAATGTTTTGTTTCGCTTTCTATAAACACCCAGAAAGGCACATAACTTTCTTTTCCAAACATATAATGGATTAAAATCCCCCATTAAAAGATTTTTTTTTTTAGGAGGTAAACATTTAGTCATTGATTTCAAGCAAAGTGCTCTGTGGCCCTCTGCCAAAACTGAAGAGACTGCCTTTTCAACTCTAGTAAAATCCAGCAACTTCAACTTTATTGAAAATAAACCTTTTTACAAAGTAACTTTTTATTGAACGGGTGACAACATGACCTGTATACAAAACATGATTTCCTGCTACGACACCGAGGAATTAGCTATCAAAACTTGGCGAGTAGACCAAGATTCTCTGCTACACAAGCAACTGAATTAAAATATAAATTTAATGAAAAAAGTCTCTTATGATCACCAAGGCTGCATTAATTTGATTGTGAACTTACAAATGTAATATTCTGAAATATTATTACAATTTTAAATGTTTTCTTTTTTCATATATTTTAAAATGTAATTTATTCCTGTGATCAAAGCTGAATTTTCAGCATCATTACTCCAGTCTTCAGTGTCACATGATCATTCGGAAATCATTCTAATATGCTGATTTGATGCTATTTGTGTGGAAACTGATGCATTTGTTTTTTCAGGATTCTTTGATGAATACTAAGTTCAAAACCACAGCTTTTGTTTCTCTCTTTCATGTGTTACAGTTGTGACATCTCGGCCGCAGAACCCAGATGAGCCCACGGGTGGAGAAGGCTGTTGCAACTTGCTCTTGTCAAGACACAGTACAGATATTTGGAACATCGTTGAGAGTTTGTTTATCCAGGACGGGCCCTTTCTCGTGGTTCGTCTTATTGTGATGATACACTTTGATGTGTTCCACCAGATGTTGGTCTTCTTTGCTATCAAGAACTTCCTAGTGGTCGTACTCAACCTCTACAGGCTCATTGTCATCTGTCAGGACTATAAACCAACACCATCATCATCATCTTCCTCTCCCACAGTCTGAAAGAAAAAAAAAGAAAAGAAGTTAAAATGAACAACATTTAACTTCTTTAATATTACCAATGCATTCTATTAACTGTGCCTGATGGTTTGCTTATACCAGGTGTTTTTGAACTAGGGTCCCAGGAGGCCACAATCCATTGCTTGGCAATGTTATTTTAGAGTCATTGATAATTTGATTGTATAATTTATTTTGTTTAACTAATAGCTGTTATTTCATACTTCATAAGATTCTAAAGCAATATAAGTTAGCCGTACAAACATTTGATTCATAAAACATAAAAATAATTTACTTCAAAAAATTGTTTTAGTCAATGACATCCACGCTCGTTTGTTTTTTTCGTGGGAGGCGTAACCTGCAGAGGCGCAGACAAACCCTTCTCTCTTTTGTGGCTGTTCGAACGCATTTCGACCACATGAACGTTTACACTATGCAGAACGTCTACCTCTTAAAGTGGACGAGCTCAAAGCGTTTTAGACGCTGTTTACAACTGTATTTAGTAGCGTCGTCCACTTGTGATCGCTTGTGATCCGATCAATCAAACACAAGGCCCCGTTTACACCTGGAGGAACTGTTGCGCGGAACAACTGATGACGCCACGGTTTAATCTTTGGTCGACCAATCAGCGGAAAGGGGCTTTTATTCCCCTGCCCACTAGAGATTGAATATTCAGGCTGTTTATTAAATTTCTTCCCCCGAAAGTAAAAACGAAGAATCAAGCTGAAAAAAAAAGATAATACTTTTATTATTTTTTTGCATTTTCATTTTACAGTTTTAGTAATTTTTTGGTGTTTTTCATTAGTTATTTTATATATAGTTTTTATTAATTGTATTTCTGTTTTAGCTATTTTAGTACAACAAATTAAAATAAGTTTACATTTTTTATGTTTTATTTCAGTTAACATTTATTTGAAGTAACAAAAATGTTGTTTTTTTTAAATGGTTTTAGTTAACTACAATAACCTTGAAGCTATGGGGCCCATGAACATTTTTAGAGAAATATTCAATGTAAAACAGTACAGTAACATAATAAAAACTAAATTTCTTCCAAATAACAATTTACACATATTTGTAATAGTAGTTTTTTAGTTTAAATTTATACATGGAAATAAATAGCTTTCTTTTTAGGATGCTGGCCCTCGCACCAGGACAAATATATTTAGGTCCATGGCATCTAAAAAGTTGGAAACCCACTAGCTTATACTGCTTAAAAACACATTCATGGGTGACAACAGTTTGGTATATTTTGAATATGTTTGAATATGCTGTACAACCAAACTTGGACCAATAGATTTTCTTTCTTTGGTTCATAATTTTAAAATAGTACTTTTATTGAGCTTAGCATTTGACAATGTTTATATACCAGTCAGTCAGTGTTGTGAATAAGATTATCTGACTCAAAAACATTAAGAGAACTCGTTTTGTGTGTGTGTGTGTGTTATGAATACAAAGAGGCAGATGCACATTTATCTGTTGCATACATGCGTGTTAAAAGGGGTCTGCTCATGCATGATTATCTTCCCTGTGTGCATTCAGATATGACTCTGATACCAGACTCTTTGAGTCACTCTGATCTGAGATCAGGCAGAGATTATTGGCCTTTTAGTGGAGAGTCTGTAGTTGCTTTACAACAGGTCCTAGATCAGCCTTTCAAAGTAACCTACAATTTCACCAGATAGTTACACAGCAGTAACCAGCATGCATCTAGTAATGCTTGTGAACCTATTCAAATATTACCTATTAGAATAAATATTGGTAGCAAAATAGAAATATTTTGGTAGCACTTTATTTTACAGTCCATGTACATACTATGCACTTATAGTAATTGCAATAACTAGGTACTAACCCTGAACCTACCCATAAACCTAACCTTAACCCATGTAGTTACCTTATATTACCCAGTACTTTCTTAGGTAAGTACACTGTACTATAAGTACATGTAGGTATTTTTGTATAGTTTGGGTCCAGCTGGATTCTCCATGTTTATGTATGTGAGAAGATTTATGCTGGATTTCTGACCTTTGGGTTTTCATGGCTTTTTTAACATTGTGGGGAAAAATGAGATGTCATCATGTCTTTCTTACATAGACTCTCTGAGTTTCCTGCTCGACTTCAAAGTAGACACACTGGGTTGGGTGGTTGTGTCTGTACCCATCATCAGGCTGTTCCTAAAACATACACACATCCCCAAAGCAGGAAAACACACATTACTTCATTAAACATTTTGACGAGGGACCAGTTTTCTATTTTTATCCAGTAGGGGAAACAGGAAATAGCCACACAAGAATAAAACAGGATACCAGCAAAGAAAGTTAGATTTAAACTAACCGTGGCAATTTGACCTACTATACGTGTATACGTTATAGTTATTTATGTAAAGAAATCCGTGTTACACTGAGACCTGCACTGTGAGCTTTGATTCACAGAAGATCAACAGTTTTGTTGGCAAAATATTAACCTATGGATGCATTTACTAAACAACAGCAACAACCCCTATTTATCTCAGCAATACAGGGTATCTAAATGTTGAAGGGAATGTAAGATGTTTTACATTTTTGTATTACTGGATGATAAAGATAACTAAATCAAATCATATTTAATTATATTTTGTAGCCTTTTGATGATTTTCAATGTTCTGAACCAGTTTAAAACAATGTCTTTAAATAAACAATAATTCAAACCAATACAAGAAGCAAAATATATCTACTAATAAATCAATTATTAAATAAATCAAAATGTTCCTATAAAGCATTACATGCAGTGAATTCTGATCACCTCTGACTGACGATGAAATCAAATGTCGACATTAAATGTTTCATTAAAATGGGCCGTAAGAATATTTAAGACTTTTTAAGTCTCCACAAGTACCCTGCATTAATAAAACTTGACACATCTATGTGATAATTTAAGGAATAAATGCACATGGGTTTTGTTGTTGTAAACTGAAAAGGCTGTACAGTACAGTGTGGACCAGTCTGCTCTCAACCTTATGCATATTCATGAGTGTCTTTTCTCAATAGCACCCTTTGTGAATCATTACATTGCAGAGCTCTTAGAAAAGTCTAAAATGCCAATGTGACTGAAATAAATTACTATAAATATGCTGATAACACACAAATACATCAGTTTCAAAGACTAGTATATCTGTTAGACATGATAAAAGGCTTTATTATTTAATATGATACAATTAGGAGCTGAAGAAGAAATTGGTTAGAAACTGCTTTTATTTGCAATATTTCTGTCCAAAGTTATTTAAAAATGGGATAGGTTGATGAACAGTCATTTAGAGCTTGCTGTGCAATGACATTTGGAGTGATATCTTTGGAGCGAGTGTAAAGATTTCTCTTACACTCAATCTCTGTTTAAACAAAGAAACTATCTATTTCAGAAAAAACATAATTAATATGACATGAAAACATGATGTGATCTGTAGTGAAGCTGCCGGTATTCAACTGGAGAATCAAAAGATATCATGAGGGAATATTACCAAATGCTTTTCTCATATTTTTCTGGCAAACACTATGGGAAATTTACTGGAAAACCCAGAAAGCAAAAGAATAGTATGCTTTCATGCTGAAAGAAAAATGAATGGGTCGAGTGTTTGTTCTCCAATGGTCTTTTTCACTGCACTGCAGATTCAGAACACTGGTTCCTTACAGATGATCAAACGGTGTTGCACATCAAACACTGAGCTCATTACGTTAGGTCAAGACGTTCTTAGAGACCTGACTCACAAAACTACAATTGACCAAACAACTAAGCAATAATAAGAGCAGATTTTATAGCCAATTTCATTTATGGTGAAAAAAAACATGTTTGGATTTTTTTTCCCACACCAACAGTAATTTTGCACACACACACACACACACACACACACACACACACACACACACACACACACACACACACACACACACACACACACACACACACACACACACACACACACACACACACACACACACACACACACACACACACACACACACACACACACACACTGTCTGCTCTTTTACGGACAGAGGGGGGAAAAAACAAATACTTTTCCCACAAAACATTTCACTTACTGGTTATTCATGATCCGATAGCTATAAAAGTACAGGGTGGCGTAAGCAATGCCAATTGCACGAACAGATAAAATGTACAAGCGCAATTAGGGGTGCAGCGAATAAAAAAAAACCTCATGGTTCGGATCTTAAAGGGTCAGTTCACCCAAAAATGAAAATTATGTCATTAATGACTCACCCTCATGTCGTTCCAAGCCCGTAAGACCTCCGTTCATCTTCGGAACACAGTTTAAGATATTTTAGATTTAGTCCGAGAGTTTTCTGTCCCTCCATTGAAAATGTATGTACGGTATACTGTCCTTGTCCAGAAAGGAAATAAAGACATCATCAAAGTAGTCCATGTGACATCAGTGGGTTAGTAAGAATTTTGAAGCATCGAAAATATATTTTGGTCCAAAAATAACAAAAAATACGACTTTATTCAGCATTGTATTCTCTTCCGGTTCTGTTGTCGATCCGCGTTCAGTGACACTGATGACGTAAGACGCTGCTGACGTGTATCTGGTGCGTCCGTGTATTCGTGTTCAAATAAATATGGCTGGGCAAAAAAATGCAAGTCTTCCTCTGTGTCGAAATCCTTAGACATGTTTGCGAAGATTGTTTTGTTTACAGCGTGCGTCTCCCTCAGACTGTAAACGAAGCTCGGGCGCACTAATAACACGTCATCAGCGTCACTGAACGCGGATCGACAACAGAACCGGAAGAGAATACAATGCTGAATAAAGTCGTAGTTTTTGTTATTTTTGGACCAAAATGTATTTTCGATGCTTCAAAACATTCTAAATAACCCACTGATGTCACATGGACTACTTTGATGATGTCTTTATTTCCTTTCCTGACAAGGACAGGATACCGTACATACATTTTCAATGGAGGGACAGAAAGCTCTCGGACTAAATCTAAAATATCTTAAACTGTGTTCCGAAGATGAACGGAGGTCTTACGGGCCTGGAACGACATGAGGGTGAGTCAACCCTTTAAGGTTTTTGAGTCATGGATCGGATCAATTTTGGGATCAGCCACAAAAAAAAAAAATTACAAATAAAGTAAGGTCTAAAGTAAAGTAAATTCTGTGTATTAAGGCACAGAAATGTAATAATTAAGTGTAAAATAACACTGTCTAAATTAAATCTAGATTAATCTTTGTTAAAGCTGTTTTGTCACTTTAAGGCCTAATGCACAGATCCAATATAATAATACACATCCGATTTCTTTCTTCACCGTTTACGTTCACTTAAGAAATAACCAACTGTGTTTACGAAGTACTTGCTGAGACAGGTATTTTGAGATCATGTTGTGTGTATGTGTCCATTGAAGCACAAGCAGACACGAAAGAGAACACAATTCCGTGTTTGTACGCTGTCTGAGACACGGCTCTCTGTGCGCACACAGAAAACAGCGCACGAGTATCGAATTGAGATCTCATTCGCCTCTTCTTGCACTTGAATGATTTAAAATCACTTGAATGTTTAAATCGGCAGAACTTATATGAATAGTTCACTTCAAAATTAAAATTGTCATTTTCTCACCCTCGAGTTGTTTCAAACCTGAATAAATTACTTTCTTCTGCTGAACACAAAGGAAGATATTTTGAAGAATGTCAGTAACCAAACAGTTGATGTACCCCATTGACTTCCATAGTATTTTTTATTTCCTACTATGGAAGTCAATGGGGTACATCATCAACTGTCTGGTTACTGACATTCTTCAAAATATCTTATTTTGTGTTCAGCAGAAGAAAGTAATTCATACAGGTTTGAAACAACTTGTGCGTGAGAAAATGATGACAGAATGTTAATTTAGAAGTGAACTAATCTTTTAAGCCAGGTGCACACTGTGAGATTTATAATAGTCCTTTACGATTGTTCCTTGTCAGACTGTATAAACATGATCCTTGATGTAATCCATGTCACACTGTAGGATCTCAGTTGTCATTAATGTCAGACTGTAAGACGGACGCACATAAAAAAAACTCATCCAGAGTTTTACATCAGACAGGTTCGGTCAACTTCGGTGACAGTGAGCTGCATTACATGCATGATTGAAATGGAGGCAACAAAGAAATCTCTAACGTTAATTTTGGTCATGACTTGTCTTGAAAACCGAAGACAATTTTACGGTCGTTGTAGAAGTCAAACTGCAGGACTACGAGTCAAATCTTCTGATACCGCCAGAATTTCGTCGGAGGTCAAATTTGGTTTGCAACGGTCATTAATCGGCTGTCGGTGAACATGTCTAACGATCAAAGAGTTCAGATTTTAGCCTAGGATAAGAGGAATCTTAGGATTTGCAAAATGTGTCTGTACAGTGTGAACCCAGCTTTAGAAACGCGTGCAAATGATAAACTTTTACATCATGATGGTTAAACTTTGCAACTAATTCGCAAATTACATGTGTGCCGAACTGCGGGGCCTGATCTGTACGGACCAGGCCCCACGTTAAATGCAATGAGTCATCAAATGTATTAGTGTACTTGACAACAGAAGACATCAGTCAGTCCATGATGGGATCCTACAAGTGCTCTTTATTGAGAACAACTTAGTTTATTCTTGTAATATCATTATAGGTCCACAAAAAATATATTTTATTTACAAACGGGTGTTTTATGTAACATATAAAACAGGATAGGAAAAAGACATACAAAAACAGACAAACAAAAGTAGAAAAACCACCCAATAAACAAACCTAAGGTTAATTATTGCATGTCAAAAGACACAGAGATTGCATTACTGCAGGTTGGAGGAGTAAATCTGGACTCCCAGAAGTCTAGAGTCAGTTTATTATGACCCCTAAGCTCACATTGCTTTAGTATGGATGTGTGCAGACAGGGATCTGAGGTGTGTCTATATCTTGAGGTTACTGGCTGGAAGACTGCTCTTATCCAAATCGTCAAAATACGGGTGTGTCATTGCTTGCCGTGCTGAAATCCTCTTCGGAGGGTCATAAATCAGCATTTTCTAAACAAAAGAGACAATGAAAATATGTGAGGAGAGAAAGGGAGATAAACCCAAACAGATAAGTAGGACACCAGTGTGTCAGGACGCCCTCTTACCATGAGCAGGTCGATGCCATTCTTGTCTAGATTTTTCACTGTGTTAGCCAGATTCCCAGATTTCCACTTTGGGAAGGTATTCTTATAATCTGGTAGTGACTCAACATCCGGCCAGACCTCATTGTTAGGGGTTCCCAGAGTCCTGAACACACATGAACCAAGGGAGGAGAAAACTACATAAAAGTAGCCAGTAGCTGTAGCATCTTCACAGTATTGAAGCTGCACAATATCTCAAGGCCAACTAATATTAAAGGGTTAGTTCACCCAAAAATGAAAATTCTGTCAGTAATTACTCACCCTCATGTTGTTCCAACCCCGTAAGACCTTCGTTCATCTTCGGAACACGAATTAAGATATTTTTGATGAAATCTGAGAGCTGGATCACTCCTCCATACTAGTCCATAGGCTTCTTCAGGGATTGAACTTGCCGGCCTCGAAAAGTTATTAAAGACATCGTTAAAATAGTCCAAGTGACTACAGTGGCTCAATCTTAAGTTTATCAAGCGACGAGAATACTTTTTGTGCGCAAAAACAAACAAAAATAACGCCTCGAGTCAGTTAACGTAGTGTGATTCCGTAGAGCTACGTCACACGTAGGCTCACTATTGGCCGACGCTGGTCATGTGCGTGATGCGTGTGACGTACAACAGAAGCTTACGCTATTACACTAGTGAACTGACTCGAGTCCCACAGAGAAGGAAATGATTAGTTGAAATAATGTCGTTATTTTTGTTTTGTTTTTGCGCACAAAAAGTATTCTCGTCGCTTGATAAACTTAAGATTGAGCCACTGTAGTCACTCGGACTATTTTAATGATGTCTTTAATAACTTTTCGAGGCCGGCAAGTTCAATCCCTGAAGAAGCCTATGGACTAGTATGGAGGAGTGATCCAGCTCTCAGATTTCATCAAAAATATCTTAATTCGCGTTCCGAAGATGAACTTACGGGGTTGGAACAACATGAGGGTGAGTAATTACTGACAGAATTTTCATTTTTGGGTGAACTAACCCTTATACAGTCTTTTGTTTCAGCAAGTGAGAGAGTAACATTTATTATGTTAAAAGATTTATATATATTATTTTTTTTAAATCCTGGTCTTTTGAACTTTATATTCAAAGAATCCTGAAAAAAATTAATCAAACAAGTTATTTTCAATCATTTAAGTTAATTTACACTATTTACACTATGAAAAAAATCATTTAGTGACAGTTATATGACAGCAAATACAATATGAAAAGAAGAAATAGAAGAAAAGAGCATGCACAATTAAATATCCAATATCGACTGGGACAGGTACAAGAAAAACAAGAAAACACGATGGAACCAATATATAGCTATTTTTTTCTTCAACTATTTTAAACACTGTATCATGGGTGGGATACTGACCCTACGATTTTAAACAGAAAGTGCAGATGCAACTATAGGCATCACCATAAATGCCCTGCTGATAACTACACAGATATTCATTATAAATTCAACTTTAGGATGCAAAAACATCAATGTCGCTGTCCCAGAAGTCTGTAAAGGCCAGGGGTGCCCAGTCCTGCTCTCGGAGGGCCACTATCCTGCAGAGTTCAGCTTCAACCCCAATCATGGTCTTACTAGATACTTCAAGCAGGTGTGTTAGGGCAAGTTGGAGCTAAACTCTGCAGGACAGTGGCCCTCCATGACAGAGTTTTGGACACCTCTGGTATAGGCCTACCGGAAGATCCTGAAAAGCTGGTCTATTTCTGAGTCTCCATGGAAGAGTGGTTTCTTGGTGGCAAGTTCGGCAAAGATGGTACCAATACTCCAGACGTCTACAGGTGTGGAATAACGTGAGGCCCCCAGCAAGACTTCAGGAGCTCGGTACCACAGAGTGACCACCTGTGCAAAAACACAGCGAGTAGAAGTACGTCAGCCTAATTTATTACATAACGCTTTGAGCAGGGGGAAATTGCAGTCACTGAGATGAGATGTGTGTATGTACCTCATGTGTATATACTCTGACCGGGACTCCAAAGGCACGTGCGAGCCCGAAGTCTGCAAGCTTGATCACACCTTTATTATCAATCAGCAGGTTTTGGGGCTTCAGGTCACGATGCAGAACTCTGCGACAGTGGCAGAACAGAATCCCCTCGAGGATCTGATACAGGTAACTCTACAAAGAGGACACGCAGTTACAGTTACTTCCAGGTACAGACTCTACACTTGGGACCTACTGTACAAGCCAGAAATAAATCAATATAAAACCTGAGGAAAAGTAGTAGAATTTATTCATTCAAATGTGAAATAATAATCTATATAGTGTTGAGCATACATTATTTGAAAGTTTGATCAAAAATACAGTAAAAACAGTAATATTATGAAATATTACTACAATTTAAAATAACTTTTCTATTTTAATATATAATTTATCCCTGCTATGGCAAAGCCGAATTTTCAGCAGCCATTACTGCAGTCTCAAGTGTCACATGATCCTTCAGAAATCATTCTACGCTGATTTAGGGTTCAAGAAACATTTCTTATCAATGTTGAATACTTGTGCTGCTTACTATTTTTGTGTAAGCCGTGATGCAGTTTTTTTTTTGTAACAGTTCTATATATTCTTTAGTTCATAATACACTACTAAGATAGTAGTGTATTATGGCAAGCAGCCAATACAAATGTTACTATATAATTACTTAAGTTTTCATGTACAGTGGGGTTCAAAGTAGAGGGCTGCATTGGGATTGAGTCCCGCCGGGTCCCGCGGGACCCAACGCAAATCTCGCGGGAGCGGGCGGTTTGAACTTTGCTGCGGGCGGGAATGGGCGGACAAATAAAACCCCTGCGGGATTGGGAGGTAGCCTAACGACATGATGGAGATGTCAATGATGTGGAAAAGAACCTTAAACGAGGTATTTACAGTACAAAACCTAAGCAAGGCAAGTCTGACATTTACTATTCATCTTCCTGATCAGTGCGTCAGAATACATGCAGGCCAGGGAAACGAAACCAACAACCCCATGAATCTCTTTAACAATAGCAATACAAAAATTCGGCGGGCAGGAGCGGGATGAAGAAAACAGTCCCGCGCAGGACTCTAGTTCAAAGGTCCATGTTAAAAAAAAAGTTAGGAAGTAAATGACAGAAATATTGAAGATTCTGCACCATTCGTTAATTAAATAACCCAAGCAAAAGTGTGACATTGATCATGTGAACACATCTTATACACTATATAATGCACCTTGACCAGCATGGGCTCCATGAACTGGCCAGATGGGATGGAGTCCAAATACTTCTTCAGATCCATGGACAGAAACTCAAACACCAAATATAACTTTGACTCCTGCATCAGCACATCCAGCAGGCTGTGAAAAAGGGAACAGAGAAAAAAAAATACAGGGGTGTATTATGATTTACATAACAAATGTAAAGTATTTGATTTGTACGATAAATGTTTCAGTATACGCTACTAGCAATTAATAAAGACTTTTAAAGGGGTCATATGATGCGTTTTCAAGTTTTCCTTTAGTGTGTTATGTAGCTGTTTGTGCATGTATTAGATCTGCCCACAAATGACTTTATTATTTCTAAAGACAGATCCAGACCTAGCTAAAACGCCTCGTTCGAAATCTCACTCACATTCCCAAGTCACTATGTGGAAATATTTGCATAATGCTGGCCAAATGCATCCGCAAAGAAAGAAGGCGTGGCTTCAGTTGTCAGTAGAGTTGTCGCCGCCATGTTGTGGAGACTGTGTATTTCAATTCGGAAAAAAAAGCACTTTATTTGGCCTTCCGAAAGTGGACACAATTGGAAATCAGTGGTTAAGATTCAGAAGGTTAAGAAGGGGTTAAGGAATCACTGTTCCAGAACAGTACAACCAAACTCTTCCATGTGTGCAGCCCATTTTATGGAAGACAGTTTCCTGAAGCTGTGAGAGTACAAGCCCGGATGTCCACAAAAGCTTTTTCTAAAAAATAAATGGGGCAATTCCAACTTTGCTAGGGCAATGTGGTGCTTCTGAATCAGAACTTGCAAGTATGTTTTATTATTTGTTAAACTATTTGCCATTGTTTAAATGCAGGGCTTTGTGCAGTATAGAGTAACGCATATTGTTTGTTGTTCTCACGATCAAAAGTGCAGAGATGGATTTACCCACTGTTCTCTGCATATAACTTGTGGTGAAAAGATGACAAACGTAGATGCACTGTGTGTTCTGTTTCACACTGGTCACTCAAGCAGAGCTTACAACTCACCACTGTGAAACGTTCTGCTGAAGTCGTGCTTGCAAAGTTGGTTCAGATCGGTCGGCTTGGTCATCTGCATTTCCAGAATCAGACTCGGGCTTGAACTGATATGGTAAATCTGACGATTTTATTAACTGTCTTTATAATTGCTTTGGGAGCTCAAGCTCGCGATTATGGTAAGGGGCATTACACTTCTGACACACACTTGAGGTGTTCGGCCAATCACAACGCACTGGGTCAGCAGGCCAATCAGAGCACACTGTGCTTTTCAGAAGGAGGGAAGACTAGAAAGACTGGGCATAGAGCAGCTACAAAAATGTACAGTATGTGTTTTGATCATTAAAGGTGCCTTATGTAAAAATTGAGGTAAAAATATCCAACAAATGAGCTACACGTATCAAAAGAATGAGAAGAAATAAATGCAATGATGTCATTAAAAAAATGACAAGTTATAGTGCTGCCGAGATATAAACCTGAATTAGCATGCTAAATTACTAGCCCCGGCCCGGCCGGTGTCATAATACCAGTTTCGGCCATGGGAGGCGGTATGCGGGCAACATACATAACCACCAGCCAAACTCCAATACACGAATAACTCGCACGGCTTGTGGGCGTACTTGAACCTGATGTCAATCGCGTCTATATGAGACCGGCCTTTATAATTTAGTGTTGAGATGTTGTTCATTGAGTCTCTAATCACTAAAAATATCCAAATGAACTGCGGTCTTACGATCGTGTCAATTGGTTTGATTAGTATGCGCGAGGGAGAGAGAGAGCAGGAGGACTGCACTCGTGTTGTTTGAAGACGTGAGAGTGCGCGCGCGCGGCCGGGGCGCTCTCTCTCTCTCTCTGCTCGTTATGAGCGCCCTGTCAAGCGCAGCAGTCATTCTATTCTACATCACTCACCGATCAAAATAGGCTTTGGCGGGACAAAGCGGACGATTTGACGGTTTTAGAAGATTAACAACCCTAAACTAAAAAACAGACAAGAGTAGGCCAACTTTCTGGAGGTATACTGCCCCCATCTGGTATGGAATATGTGGATTTTGAATTGATTTTTTTACACAAGGCACCTTTAAAGCATGTTAACAATCTATTACACCCAATACAAAAATAATGATCTTTGAAAATAGCATAATATGACCCCTTTTAAAGGGATACTCCACTTTTTTGGGAAATAGGCTCATTTTACAACTCCCCCAGAGTTAAACTGTTGAGTTTTACCGTTTTTGAATCCATTCAGCCGATCTCCGGTTCTGGCGGTACCACTTTTAGCATAGCTTAGCATCCATCATTGAAGTGGACAAGACCATTAGCATTTCTCAAAAAAAAAAATGACCAAAGAGTTTCGATATTTTTCCTATTTAAAACTTGACTCTTCTGTAGTTACATCGTGCACTAAGACCGACGGAAAATGCAAAGTTGTGATTTTCTAGGCTGATATGGCTAGGAACTATACTCTCATTCCTGCGTAATAATCAAGAAACTTTACTGCCGTACCATGAGTGCAGCAGGCGTAATGATATGACGCAGCGCCTGAAAATAGTTCCGTTGTGTTGACGGAAGGTACCGCCGGAAGGTACCGCCAGAACCCGGAGATCGGCTGAATGGATTCAAAAACGGTAAAACTCAACAGTTTAACTCTGGGGGAGTTGTAAAATGAGCCTATTTCCAAAGAAAGTGGAGTATCCCTTTAAGAAGCAAAATAAAATCATTACTCTCTCATTTTTTACAGAGAGAAAACAAGTGAGAAGACATCTGCAAGTTCCAAAAGCAGTTACATGCACGCAACCGGCAATTTCTGACTGAATCCAGATTCTTTATGCTAAACTTTGAGGTTTTGAATTTGTTTTGTGTAGATAAAGATGTTAGGAAATCTCTCCGTCTCATACCGTACAACGTTTGGGTGCTGAAGCTCCTTGAGGAGGGAGATTTCTCTGACAGCAGTGCTGGGCACACCCTCCTCCTCACTCTCCAGTCGGATCTTCTTCATAGCCACCACCTGTCCAGTGGTTTTATTCCTGCCCTTATATACCACACCATATGTACCTAAAGAACACATACATGGATTTCTATTAGACATCTACAGAAAAAAATACCAGGAACTCTCATGCAATCTCATAATCTGCCTTGAAACAAACTGACTGCACACTGAGAGAGAGGCCAGAGAACAATATAAAATGGTCGTATACAACTCAAATTCTTAAGAAAATTACAAAGAAAGATTCAACTTACCTTCACCAATTTTCTCTATCTTCAGATAGTCATCCATTTTTCTCAACAATCTTTTTTGAGGAAAAACAAAGGGTTGAAAAAAGTTAATTTACAGCATAACATTTGCAATTAACTTACTCAATACTGATGCCAAAAGGAACTCACCTTAAAAAGCTAGTGGCAGACAAACTTGTCATTTTTTATTTCAATACACTATCTAATATAGAATGCTATACATCTAAGTTAACGTTAATAGTATGTATGTATACATTTACTTATATAAGTTACACATGAGGTATAAAAGACTTTTCTGAACATCCATTAACTTACAACTTTTAGCCTTGACATCATTAATATATTCATAACACAACAGTGACATTTCTGATGAGCCATAATTTTCTGCTTATGAAAACACGAAGTCCCATTTTTATATCTATGTTTTGCAAATGAAAATGTGGCCACGTTAAATCAAAATGCAACGGAAACAAGTGTTAAAACCAAGGAAAGGCGACAAAGACCGTGATCTGCTTTTATTTACGAACTATATTTGTGAATCACATCAAACTAAATATTATTTACAAGTATAAACTGCATGTTGAAGTTAAATGACTAACGTTAAGTACCTTAGTTTTTTGCCCAGTGGGGCCTCATCAACTTTAAAACGTTCAACGATCAGAATCAAGATTGATAACAGGCGATCATCTTCATATATTTAAAAACTCACCTGTTCTGTAACTATATCTAATCTGGATGAATATCCAAACCCTCCTATTTTCTTCAGATATCTTGATGATTAAAGTTTTTGAGAAGAGAAAGAGCGTGCGGATGTTGTATCTCACTGCTGAACTGCGAGTTCCTAGATTCAAACTGGCCGCTTAGACGTAATTCAAAGCAGCCAATCGGAGTTCTCGGTGGACTTCAAACTAACCAATCAGATGGTAGGGCGGTTTGGAGCGGGAGCGTACGTCTGTCCGAGAGTACGTGCGCGTGCCCAGTGGTTTGTTTGTTCGTGCAGGTAGGGAACGTGAAATCCCCCGTTTTTCCATGTTCGCTGCTACAGAATCGCTGGTAGTGTTCAGATCAGGAAAACATTTTCTCTTTTTAATCTATAGGTTGTCCTAAAAGACAGACTACCCAATGCAACAGACTAAACCTTCATGACGTTCAGTGGTGCTTGTCTCACTTGTTAGTTTTTTTTTTAAATTCCATAAACATTCCAATATACAACAAACAAATTCAGTGATTACAAGGACACTGACTCTGCCCCATTTATATATTTTTTGTGATTTTTTTTATGTCATTACATTGTTTGGAGCACTTTTTGTGTGTGTGTTTATCTTTTATTGTGATTTTAGTTCAAAAGAGAGGTGGTTGTTAGCCTTCGAAATTTCAAACAAATAATCCATCTTTCAACAAAGTTAATTCACAAATTTGAGCAGAATGTTCATTTTTTTTTATCTTGACTTTAATTTTCTTGAGTTACTTCACCCCGATTAAACTGATGCTTGACAATTATTTTAGTGTTATTTATATACTACAGTATTTATTAATATTTTGTTTATTAATATTTTTATTTTATTGATTTTATTTTATTTATCCTCTGTAGAGGACCCCAGGACTCAGTTATTAAGAAAATAAAATGGCATGATAATGTATTAGAAAAAACTTTTTTTTTTTTTTTATCAATTTTTAGGTTTCAGGCTATTTTTAACCACACTTTGTATAAAGATGATTCTTAACTATGTTATGAAAAATATAACAGAATGATTTGATATATTGATATTATATATTTTACTTTATGTAATATGTGTAAAATGGCCATAATTTAGTCCCAATCTATAGGCCTACATTGTATCTAATTTGCATATTAATGTGTTATTGGGTTAACATGTAATGAAAAAGAAGTGTAGTAATGGGAGTAATAACTTGGCAACATTTTCAAAAGAATATCTCAAATTTCATATTGATGTATAATTTCTTTCCCTATTAACTTGTGTCTCCCCAAAATGCCTAATTAAACATGCTGTAAGTCCTGGTGTTCCACGGAGGACATGTATGAAATCAATGCAGAAAATCTTTCTCTTTTTTTGTAACAGAAAGTCATAATCTGATTTAAAACCCCATAACGTTTCCCTGAGATGTTTATTTACGACAAATATTATCATATTTCCATAAGAGTGCTAAATTTGATAATTCAGTCAATGGCAGTCATTTTAAAGGCCAAGGAGAGGGAGTTGTCATGGTGAAACCCCCAAACATTTGGTTTCTCTGAAAAGCCCTGACTGTGCTCTTTACAGGACATCCAGACTGTGACATGGTCTCAGAGATATTCGCTCAAATAAAAAGTAGGTATGATCTGTACACATCTGTTTTTTACAGAGTGTGGTACACACATGCACATACAAGCATACAATCCTCTGTTTGACCACTTGGCGTCACTGTTTGACCGCTCTATTTAATAGGCTAAGTAAATCAGATGTGCACCAGAGAGAGCACGGTTTTTTAAATCAGAGGAAAATCACTTACATTTTATTCGTCCTCTAGACATTCTTATGAGAGAAAGAAAAAAGTGTGATGTACAATAAATAAATTAACATGTTTTTCTAATGTACATACCGTATACCAGTCTATAGCACGTGTATATACACACTCAAAGTGAAACCAGAAATTGTAATAAAGTTTGTTTTTTATTCAACTCCTCAAAGGAGCTATTTAAAAACTCTCAAAAGGCCAATGAAGCATAACTAGGCTGTCTAATTACAGAGAAATAAAGGAGGCTTAGTCCCCAGGATAAAATCTCAATTCAAAAGCCAAATCCTCAGAGGTAGAGACTTTAATTAAAGAAGTGATTAGTGACAAATTATTAGATGCATGTTTGAGTCGCCCTGATTGGCTGAAGAGACGAACACTTTAAGTGGAATGGAGTTAAACTGATGATGTGTGTTGTTGTTGTTGTTGTTGTTGTTGTTGTCATTGTTCTTAAGTGATTTCACCAAACGGGTTCCTGCATCAACATCTTTGTTACTGTGGTCCAATCAACCAATCAGATTTGAGGGACAAGTATCTGCAGTTTATGTCAAGTTTAGGCTTACAAACAGTGTTGTTTACCAATCATTCCCCTCTGATTTTAGGAATAACCTATGGATAGGGTTAGCTATGGATAGGGTTAGGAATTTTCGGACAGGCATGTTGCTCCACTTCCAGGATCAACAAAATTGATCCAGGAACATGTAGCTACTTGACAAATTCACGGTGACCATAATGCCACCATTCTATATTTACATGTATGGGATAGTGTATTTTAGGCTAGATTTGTATCACTCCGTTGAGTTTTATCTCATGATAATGATCTTACTGTACATTGTCCCTCTTTGCATGGCCACCAAATGAACATGAAACATTGGTTTGAGTTGAAATGATTTTATTCTGAGTGATATAGACTGTATGGTCGATGATACAGTTTAGCGGTCATTCAGAAAAAATATTTGGCACAGATTGCACCCACTGGCCAATCAGAATCAGGCATTAGTGTCATTTTAGTTTTAGTTATTGAGATACTATTTTTATTATTATATTGAAATAGTTATTATTATTATATTTTTCATTTTTATTTTAGTGAAATTGAATTTTTTTCTGGTGTTTTTTTTCTTCTTTTTAAATATTTCTATATAGTTTTTGTTCATTTTTATTTTTAGTTATGTTAGCACATCAAGATAAACTAAATAATTTGAGATATCTTTCTTTGGCTGTAACTGAAATTTTATTTCAGGTTTTAGTTAACTATAATGGCCGTTCCAGAGAGGCATGACATTATTTCCTCCACCATGTTTTTTGTCTGTTATACACTACAGTCTGTAGTCTGACGTCTGTGAGAGAGACTGAAACACAGGAACACGTACTCAGCAGTCTTCAGGGAGGAAGATGAGCCTTGCGTATTTTGTGTCCCGTGTGAGAGATAGAGATGTGTGTATGTTTACATGAGCTTGTTGAAAAGAAAGAGGTCATGATGAATGGGGCTGAGAGTGGGGTACTGACCTAGAGACAGGGGGGTGGGCAAATGCTACAAATAGTTTTTAGGACACTGAGATTTTGGGGCAAGGGAGGGCTGTTGTGTGTTTGAGCGATTTTATTTGAATGCATGTGTCAAATGTAGGGCGAATGCAGGACCAAAGAGGATTCCCTCACCTAGATTTCACACGACCTTCATGTGTGGAAAAACTACAGCAATTAATGAGCGCATTTGAAAATTGGCTAATTATAAAGATCTGATTAGGTCAAAACATTTACATTAACCTGATGGCCGTATAGGCCTACACTGTCGGCTTAATAACCATAATCGAAAATTGAATGTAAACACACTTAATGTCGCATAATTCGTTTTTTGACCGAAAGTACTAATTCATATATATCTACATTTAAATAACGCTGTAAAAAGATCAAAATATTCTGTATTGAATATTGTCCATTTTCTCTCTCCCTGCGCTGAATAGACTCTCTGACATTAGCATTCCTACCCAGGCTTAGTTGCCATGGTGAAAGCATGTGGTTTCCTGGCGTTGCCATGGGGATTTCCTCCCTGAACATTTCTTCAGCAATCATACACGTGTCTTTTCATGATTTATTCCTTCTCTCTCTCTCTCTCTCTCTCTCTCTCTCTCTCTCTCTCTCTCTCTCTCTCTCTCTCTCTCTCTCTCTCTCTCTCTCTCTCTCTCTCTCTCTCTCTCTCTCTCTCTCTCTCTCTCTCTCTCAATCACTGTCTTTTTTTGTCTTTCCCTGAGATTGTCGGTCTCCCCTGCTGAGGATCCTGCAGTTGGTGTAACTGTGTAAAGGACAGTTGATGAGTCTTGATTCCCTTCAGATGAGGATGAAGGTTTTCTCAGGGTGACCTTCAGCAAGCGTGACCACATTGCTTTTCTCATCTCACATAGACACACAGATTTGCTCAAACGAGTGCACCTTGAGCAAAAAAAATGATCAGCTAACGGGCATATAATATCACCCACTCACCCGGCCGCCCCCATGCGCACATTATGATTTTCTTGTGCTTGTATTTATCAGGGGGTTCCTGAGGAAACATGCACTAGTGCTAACAAGACTCATTATGACAGCAGTCTTATTAAATGGCCTCTGGGTGAAACAACATGTGAGATCCTGTTATGTGATCTCTCTACCACTATTTCCTATTAACACTGAATATTCAGAAATATTTATGGCCTTCACCTAGCTGATATTGGTTATTATCTCATTAAACACCCTTAAAGGGGGAAAATATGACTAAGTATAATTTTTAATATGACATTTTAATTATGTGTAAAATAAATGATAATGATTAGCCACAAGTCCACAACTACTGCTTTTTCCTACAGATGTTTTATTTGGTAATGAGACAGAAATATTTGCAGTAATGAGAGTAATCAGATACGAATGATCACAATTACATATAGGATTATTAATTTCATCCCATTTATACATTTGGTAGATGCTTTTTTTTTTGCATTGAAGATAGTTTTAATTTTATCAGTTCAGGCATTCCTTTTTATATCATTACATATCAATGTAATATGATTTCTAAATAATATTCTGGTAATTTCCTTGATTTTCTGTATTTATAAATGATATGATCCTTTCCTTACAAAAAAACAAACATTTTTATTATTATTTTGTGTTGTTTTTCCCCCACTAAAAAATATTTAAACTAAAATCTAATAGCATTGACATTTTATTTTTTATTGATGTGAGCATAAAACAAAATGTTTGTGAGGTTTATGCTTAAAACTAAAATCTTTGGTCAAAAGAGTAAGAAAAAATGTTTTCAAATTCCAATTCAAGATATAGCCTACTTATAATAATTTGAATTTTAT